AAGTGAAGTACCTCATTGTGATGACAAGACTATGGCGCTTTGATGAGAATCTTAATCGTAAGCATTTAGATATGCAGCTTTCTGTTGTTTTCACATCAGGGAATGATTCTATGAAACATAGCCAAGAACATTGCTGCTGCTATTTTCCAAAATTCACTGGACTGAGTTTTCATATATGAGGGAAAAAATTATCCCAGTCGACCACTCCAATTTCTGTGTAACCCTGGGCGTCAAAAACCTTCAACCCCATATAAAGAATGAAAGTATTGACTTTCCGAATGTTTACTTTAAATTAGTATCGTTCATAGTGTTAACGAAAAAAGGTACCTCAAGCCGACAACCATCAGAAAAAACAGTTTCGGAAAAGAAATCACTCACCGCTTCAATCTCTCCAAAATACTTATTAGGATCAAACAGGCCCGAGTAGATATCTCTATTAATTTTCTCCAATGCACGCTTCAATTGAGTTCCTTCCGCCCAAGCTGGCACCTTCTTTCGTGGAGCATCCTAACACCAAACAAGATTTACACATTCTTTAGACAAAGATAATGCACTTATCATGCCTCTTCACCTCTTGGTCGGTCTCATCTCCACTTGAAAGATCGTGAATATTGTAGTCATTCTCGGTTGCAGGCTTGTACTTTTTATCAGGTGTCATTTCATAAGAGTCGTGACTGCTGTGACGAGAGGGCGATCTATTCTCCACATTTGACGTCTGAAAAGTTGCGAAATACGAAAGTGAAATCGAAATTGATCTGCATAACGAGATCGTTTCAGAATAGTTAGTTGAAATGCTGATAAGAGTCGAACAAAACGCGGGTCTGTTTCCGCTGATCGCGAAGATCTGCGGGTTTCGCAGAAAAAAACCATGACTAATCTAACGCAGACTCACATCTCAGTGCTGCAAAAAAATTCTGAAGGCTTTAGGAAGTAACAGTGTACATAACTACCCTATTTGGTAATGAATAAGTAGAGAATTAAAAAGAGATGTGCTGAAAACCTACATTCATGCTGACGTTGGCCAAATGACGATTGAACAGATCTGCACTCGAACTAACGTTAAGCCGAGCTTTAGCCTCTTCCTCTTCAATACGACGCAGCTCCC